GCAAGCGGAGACAGTGAACATGTACCCCTGAGGATCTGGGGACAACACCAACTGCCATAATTTTGGCAGTTTCATCACATAATCTGACAGTCCCTGTTTCAGCTTCCAAATCTTGCAAGTTTTGCATTCATCTTCATAATGTGGCTATAAAGTTATTGTTTAACAGTGAAGGTGTGGCTGGGCATGGTGGCTCACACCTGTAATCCAAGCACTTTGGGAGGCCGGGGCAGGTGGGACACCTGAGGTTGGAAGTTCGAGACCAGCCTAACCAACATGGAGAAACCCTGTCTCTACTAAAAATACAAAATTAGGCAGGCATGGTGGCACATGCCTGTAATCCCAACTACTCGGGAGGCTGAAGCAGGAGAATTGCTTGAACCTGGGAGGTGGAGGTTGCAGTGAGCCAAGATCACACCACTGCACTCCAACCTGGGTGACAGGGCAAGATTCCATCTCAAAACAAACAAAACAAAACAAACAAACAAACAAACAAAAAAACCAGTGAAGGTGCTTTTTTTCAAATGGCCTGGGATTGGGTGATGGCTCCAACAATTTCAGGTTGAATAGATCTGAAATTTAATTTATCAATGCCTCAGTTATTCCCTCTCTATTGAATCATAGAGATGGTAAAAGAATACCTTCCTTATAATGTTGTTGTGAGAAAATAGTTAATAAATACCTGAACCCCACTAAGATCAAGGTCTGATGTATAGTAAGCATTCAGTACATGTTGTCCTTTATATATTTACCCAAGAAATAGTAAATAAATGTTCATAAAGACTTAATACTGTCCTGGGTTTTGGAGAGACAGCAATTAAAAAAAAAATTGAAACAGTTAAAGAAAAAGAGTCCCTGTCTTCCTGGAGCTTGCAGTCTAGTGGTAAGAGATTATAATAATCTCAGATCTCATGATCAATTTAACAGAATGATGGTGTTTTATATATTTACTAATAAAGCAGCCAGCCTCTACCCTCTAACTTCTTGATCTTCTTTGAAGATTGATAATTTAGGATGCACACGTTTTATTTCCTGCAGTCCCATACTTGCTTGCTGTCTGCCTCTGTTTAAGGAGCCAGGGGTGCTAGGGGACTTCAGTGAAGAACAGAATATCTACTAAGTGCCTCAAGAGCAGGATCATGGGGCCTAGAATCAGACTGCGCACTTCAAATCCTCACTCTGCACTTACTAGCTATGGGACCTCAAGCAAGAATCTTGACCTCTCAGTTACCTCATTTGTAAAATGGAAACAAGAATAATGCTAATAATAATACCTATTATATACCCCAACTTTGCTTTGATTACCAATATTAATTCATTTTGCAATCACCAACGTAATTGCAAAATGAACCAATATATGTAAAGTACTTAGAAAAGGTTTTGGCATAAAACCAGCTCTCAATGTGTATTAGCATCTACCATTTTTATTATTATTGTTGTTTTTATTATGCATCATTATAATTACCTTTTTATATTCAATGCTAACCATGAAGTGTGTACTTAATAAATTTTTATTGAACTAAATAGAAAATGGTGCCTGGAATGGAGATACTCGTGGTCTAGTGAGAAGAAAGACATGAGGATAACATACAAACATGTGAAGCAAGCTGATGAGTGCTAAGGGCGGCCTAAGAGCCAGCCAAGGCCAAGAGCACTGGTGGCACCATTTCCCTTTCCTCCCCTACCATTCCTGCTTTGTTTTTTGTGCTTTTGGTGTCATATTTAAGAAACCATAACATAATCCAGGTCATAAAGATTTATATCTATGTCTCCTTCTAAGAATACTATGACTTCAGTTCTTATATTTAAGTCTTTGATCCATTTTCAGGTTTTTTGTATATGGTGTGAGGTAGAAGGTTCACATTTATTCTTTTGTCTGTGGATGGCAAATTGTTCCAGTACCATTTGTTGAAAAGACTATTCTTTCTCCATTGAATGATCTCAGTTACTTTGTTGAAAATCAATTGACCATGTATATTTAGGTTTGTTTCTGTATTCTCAATTCTATTCTGTTCATCTATACGTCTATCTCTGTGCTAGTACCACTAAGTTTGATTGATGTAGCTTTGTATTACATGTTAATATTAAAAGTGTGAGTCCTTCAACTTTGTTATTCATCTGGCCTTTGGCTATTCAGGGTTCCTTGCATTCCCATATGAATTTTAGGATCAACTTGCCCATTTGCACAGAAAAAAAAAAAAAAAAAAGGCAGTTAGTTTTGATAGTAGTTATACGAAGTCTGTAGATTAATTGGGAACTAATTATCCCCAATGACTAATTATTGTCATTTTAACAATATTTTCTAGTTTTCCAGTTCACTAGTATAATATGTGTTTCTATTTATTTAGGTCATCTTTGATTACTTTCAAAAGTGTGTGTGGTTTTCAGTGCATAAGTCTTATACTTTCTTGGTTAAATTTATTCCCAAGCGTTTTATTCTTTCTGATGCTATTGTGAATGTAATTGTTTTTGAAATGTTATTTTTGTATTGTTCATTGCTGGTGTGTAGAAGTAGAACTGATTTTTGTATATTAATCTTGTATCCTACAACTTTCCTAAACTTGTTTATTAGCTCTAATAGTGTTTTTTATAGATTCTTCAGGATTTTCTCTACATAAAATCATGTCTTCTGCTAATAGACATAGTTTTGCTTCTCATTTCAATCTGGGTGCTTATTCCTTTTTCTGACCTAACTGCTTTGACTAGAACTTCCAGTATAATATTTAACAGAAGTAGAGAGAACAGACATCAGTATACTGTTTCCAATAAATAAAATGTCCAGTCTTTCACTGTTAAGTATGACATTAGTTGGTTTTTTTCTTTTTTTTTTTTTGAAATAGAAGCTCTTTATCAGATTGAGGAATTTTCCTTCTATTCCTAGTTTATTGTGTGCTTTCAACATGAAAGGTGACGGATTGTGTCCGATTCTTTTTCTGCATCTATTAATATGATGCTGTGGCTTTCTCTCCCTTTATTCTATAAATATAATGTATTACATCAATTGATTTTTAACAAACCTTGCATTCCTTGGATAAATTCCACTTGGTAATGATGTATAATTCTTTCAGTATGCTGGTGGAGTTGGTTTGCTAGGATTTTGTTGGGGATTTTTGCACTAGTGTTCACAAGGGATATTGATCTATAATTTTCTTTTATTGTGGTTGTTTGTCTGACTTTGGCATCAAGGTAATACTGGCCTCAGAATAAGTTGAGAAGTGTTCCCTCTTTTTCCATTTTTTGTAAGGTGTGAGAAGAACTGATTTTTTTTTTAAATGTTTGGTAAAATTTACCATAAAGCCATGTGATCCTCAGCTTTGGATTGCTGGTTGGTTTTAATTATTGACTCAATATATTTACTTGTTATAGGTCTATCCTGATTTTATATTTCTTCTTTCATCAGTTTTGATAGTTTGCATGTTTCTAGAAATTTGTTATATCCAAGTTATCTAATTTGTTGGTATACAACTGTTCATAGTATTCTCTTTTAAATTTTTTTATTTCTGTAAGGTTGGTAATGATGTCCCCACTTTCATTTATTATTTTAGTCATTTGAGTTTTCCCTTTTTTCTTGACTAGTCTAGCTAAAAGTATGCCAATTTTGCTGATCTTTACAAAGAACCACCTTTTCGTGTCATTGATCAGGGTTTATTTTCGAAGGGTGGTTTTCACTTTATAATTTATAATATCTGCTTGCAATTTGAGGGAGATTATACTGGTTTCTGCAATCACAAATGTACTGTTTCTTAAGGTTCAGTGTTTAAAAAGTGATCTCTATATTTGATGAATGGAGTAATACATGTATTGACTTACATAGAAAATTTTCCCCCTTTTGGTTAAATGATGTTGGCTACATTCTGACAGATGAAGCCTTGAGGAGGTAATAAGGAGAAAATATTGCTAAGGACACTGAACTGTGTTACAGTCATTTTAGTGCTTATATTTTCTGCCAAAAATAAGTTAAACCAAACATAAATATGCAAATGTAAACAATTCCTTCATGTTGTCATCTTATTCTCAAATTCTTCTTCAACTTTTCATTTTTATTTTGTTACTTTTTTTTTTTTTTTTTTTTGAGATAGAGTCTTGTTCTGTCACCCAGACTGGAGTACAGTGGTGTAATCTCAGCTCACTTCAGTCTCCACCGCCCGGGTTCAAGCAATTCTCCTGCCTCAGCCTCCTGAGTAGCTGGGATTACAGGTGCCTGCCACCACGCCTGGCTAATTTTTGTACTTTTAGTAGAGATGGGGTTTCACCATGTTGATCAGACTGGTCTTGAACTCCTGACCTCGTGATCTGCCCTCCATGGCCTCCCAAAGTGCTGGAATTACAGGTGTGAGCCACCACGCCTGGCCAATATTTTATTCTCTATGTACAGCACCACCCTTTTTTTTTTTTTTTTTTTTTTTTTTTTTTAACAGAAGGCCCATTTCATCTTATCCCACAAACCCGTAGAAATCTCCCTTTGGGAAGTAAAACCAGAAAAGAAATTCTGACAAATAGCTACATGGCCTTCTCTTTTCCAGATCTGAAACTTTACACAGCCTCTCTCCTCTGCCTCAATGACCTGATCTATATGTAGCAAATTCCTATCCGTTTTCTTACATCTTTCAGAATAGAGAAGGGTCAAGAATGCTAGACTTGTTTTTGCCAGAAGAATCGTTATGAAGAGCATAAAGCAGATGAACCTTGATCTGCTAATTGCAGAAAAGCAAATACATGGTTTTGTGCACGAGGCAGGTCAGTCATGCGTGAGGGATGGTCTGGGCAAAGGGTTAGTAACAGGAAAAGCTGAATTGAGAACAAGACATCACAGGATAGCTCAAGATCTGAATATAAAGTCTGAAATGACCTTCATCTCCCTGCCACATACACATGCATGGGTGCACGAACACGTGCCATGCGCAAGTACACATGCAGACACTCAAAGGCCTTCCTTTCAGTCACACAAAAACATATGAGTACTTGTGATCTGAAACCACTTTCTTTTGTGTTTGTCTCCAAAGGAAATGGAAATGAAAGCAAAATGGAAGGACGTGAGGTCCTTATCCTTGGAGATCCTATGGAGTCTCCACAGACATTCCTTGAAGAAATCAGGTGTGACGGATGCTAATGCAGAGCCTGGTGTTTAGCAAAAGTGAGTCCTACATTTCATGATTTGGATTATATGTGTGTGTGTGTTAGATTGTCTACCTAGACAACTACCAACAATTCCTCCCATTCCTGGACACTCATGCCACTACTTCTATCAAGAAAAGGAGTCTTCTTCCCTTGAATCAAAGCTGTTCCTGTTATTGTTTTGACCAACACGATGCAACAGAAGTGATACTGTTTCTTAGGAACCCTGGAAGTTTTCACATTTGCCTTTTGGAATCCAGCTCTCATTGAAAGAAGCTGGATAGACTAGTAAAAAAATGAGAAACAATGTGGAGAGAAAAAGTTCATTTGCTTTCTTTTAGAAGGTCTTAGGTGGTTTGACTTCTTAAAAACATGGCTTTCAATTTGAAATAAAAGTAAAATAGCTGTGTCTGTTAAGTGCTAGATAGGGATGCAACTGCACACTGGCCTGTGAAGTCATGTCTGCATAGCCTACACACAACTTCTAGAAATAGGCTTTCAAGACTTGGTTCAAGATGCCCTTAAATGTGTCTTTGTTTTCAGGATGATGAACATAATGTTTCTTAGAGAAGCAAAAATTCAGGGCTTGGGTCACGTGTTCGTCTCTTTTAGTCTTGAATACTTCTTTGTATGGGGAGCTCATCAGCTTCCAAGGTAGAAGTTTTATGTAGAGACTACTCAAATGGAGAGTGAAGTTCTAATAGAATTCCAGCAGAGCCACAAAATCAATCCATGTCTCATGCACATTCCATTCTCTGTTCACACTAATCACTCCAAAGGAGAATTAAGGGACTAGGCAAAACTCATTAACTTTCTCAGGTCTCCTGGGTAAATGTCAAATGACTGTGAAAATGGGACTCTAGTGAAGGAGAGAATGGGGCTCTCCAGAGTCTGACTCGTTCCAGCTAGGAAGGTTGGGACTTTTAAGGAGGATCCAGGTTCCTTGACTTATTTACCCAGATTTATTCCATTCTTACTCATCCACTTGCTCATTGCATAAACATATATCTATTATCATGTGCAGGCATTGGGAAGTGTCTTTAAATATGTTAATGCTCATCTTCAAAACACTCTATTGAGTAAGTATTTTTATCCCTTTTACAGTACATTCAGAGAAGAACTTAGCAATAGTCACACATTTAGCCATGGCCAGAGTAAACAATCTTACAGGGTCTTTATGTTTCAAAGGTCATGTTGACTATGTTGCCCTTGTGTTACACAAACTGACGTGAGATTGAAACATCTAGTTTCACCTGTATTATAATTTGCTTATTTTAAAAAATTTACTCACTCTTTATAAATAAATTTATTTTAAGAAACTCTGCATGGTTAGCAAGAGAAAAATTATACATTGTTTTAAATATCGTAGCAGTATTACTGACCACAAATGGAAAGGAGCAATGAAAGTAAAGCTGAATTGTTGGGTTTTGGTTATATCGATAAGAGGCATTTTCAAGGGCTTGAGCCTAAAGGTTGCTCTCCCTATTATAAAGGGAAACTAGCAAGTGGTACCCAGAGATATTAGAAACATATTGACACACAGCTGAGACTTTTAGCCCCCATTATTTAAATGAGGAAGAATAAAAGAGAATTCAAAGGGCAATGAGTTCTCAGCAGGCATTAGCCACCTTCCTTTTGTGTACCATCTAAAACCATCCCCATATCACCTTCGAGGACCTGCGGCTGTGTGGCTGTGTATGCTGTTTCTTCTCGCAAGAGTTCCTTGAAAGATCTTGAAGAGACAGACAAAATCCAGACAAATGCCATGCAGTATGAAAAGTATAACGTCATCATGCTCTCCAAACCTTTTCGATCACGAACCCTTGTAATACATTTTTGAACCTATACTCTCTACATACCTTTATAGTCCCACTTTTAAAATGAATACATGTGCAATGGCATGCTAGTATTTTATGCAACTTGTAAAGTGAACAAAAGTATAAATTTTAAAAAATAAATATATTAATTTTTTTTCCAAATTACTCAAAAGAAGTTCGAGTTGTCCCATTTGGGAGACTATGGGTTAAGGGGGAAAGTGCAGGGAGCACAAAAAGAGGGTACCCAGCTCACCCAAAAGGATGAAATGGAGGCTCAGACAAGGCTCTCTGGAGGGGGGTTGACATGAAATGATCCTGGTGTCAGCAAGGTAGAGAATTCAGAACAGAAGGGGCCAGCCCAAGTGGGCATCCATATACCTATACACAGGCCACAAATGAAGGAGTAGAAAAATGAAATGGGAGAAAAGGGGGAGAAAAGAAAGCAGAATCAGTTCCTGGACAGCTTTGCAAACTGAGCTGAGCCAAGGGGCAATGGGGAGCCATTGAAGGGTTTTAGCAGGGAACAATCCAAGCTGCGGAATATCCTTCCTCCATTCTCAAAAATGCACACATGGGTGTACAAAGCCACCGTCACCCTTATACAAACAAGGAAAAGAACGGCCTGCCTACCAAATGACTTCACAGCAGTCATTTGTACAGTCATTCAACACACGTTTATTAAGTGCCTACTATGTGTCTTCTGTAATGGGTAGTCAGAAGCAAACAAAACATCACAGAGCTTTCAGTGATGTGGGGAAGATAGACTAAAATCTAGCAAATAATCAGATTCACTCATAGTCACATTGCAGATAGAAATAGTGTGACTATGAGAGAATTGGAATAGCAATTGGCAATTGAAAAAGCAGTATCCTGAGGTAGCCTTCTCAAGGAAGGCCTCTGGGTAGGAGACAGGTAAGCCAAGATATATGTGAATTAAAATAACCAGCCCATGAAGGGGTTGGGGAGGAGCAGTCCAGGCTCCAGGAATGTTTTAGATGAAGAGACCATGAGTATACAAAATATTTGCATATATGGGGAAATAAAGAAGCCTGGAAAGCTGAATTGGAGTGAGGGAGGATGAGAACACAGATGGTTTTATAAGATGGGCAGAGACCTGATGCCTGGGAAGCAATGGGAAGACAATGAAGGTGATTGACAGGGAGGAGTGAGTTTCACATTACATTTTGACTTTTAAAAATGTTTTTAAAGAGATGAGGTCTTGCTGTGTTGCTCAGGCTGGCCTTGAACTTCTGGGCTCAAGGGATCATCCTGTCTTAACCTCCTTAGTAACTGGGACGACAGGTGTGCACCAACACTGTGCCCAGCTCACATTACATTTTGAATAGCTCCATCTGGCTGCTGGGAGGCCTGGTGATTGTTGTCATTGATCTCCTTCGGGGAGCTTGCTTGGCAAAGGGTGGTAGTCATAAATAAAGAGACAAGTAGACATTTGAGTAATAATATCGACAGAACTTGGTGACTGTAAGAGTGAAAAGAGTAGAATTTGGGAAAAGATGCAGAACTCAAGCACATGATGTTCAGAGAGCCCAACTGCATAAAATAGGGAGAGCCTCAGTCTCCAGAGAGCATGGGGGCAGGACTCTCTCATGTCACAGCAACAGTGCACCTCACTGCTTCTGGAAGGAGACAGATCTCTCAGAGGATCTGGGGTGTCCTCAAGTCCAAACTCAAAGGGTGGCTGCTTACATTTTTCTCTGTCTCCAAAAACTTATGCATGCTTGATGCTGCTCTTCAAAACAACATTGAAGAATTAAAAATTATAATGAAATCTGGAAATGTGGTACTGATCAGGGGTGTTTTCTTCCTTCATCACTGGGCTCTGGAGTGACTCAGAGAGAGCTCAACGCAGGCATGAATTATCTTTTCCATCAACACCATCGCCCATAAGGAAGCCACATCTGCAACACCACTCACCAACCAGTTTGGGGGACCACCTGGGAAAGGGGTGGGGGAGACTCCAGTTGATTACTCAGGACAGATGACTCTTTGGTAGGAACTGCCCCCAGGAAGCTGGTCTTCAGCATGATGTAGCCCCCAGTGTTTGCTTTTTCGTTTGTTTTCTTCTTCTTGCTTGTTCCATTGATCCTAAGTGAATAGCAGTGCTTTGAGCTCTCTCAGAGAAAAGGGAACTGGCATGTATTAAGCAAGAAAGCACTTGCTACAACCAAGTCCCTGAGTTAGTGGCTTTACATGGCTTATCTGATCAGAGGTCCCCAGCAAAGCTTTGATGTGGGAAGTATTACCCCTGTGTTACCAACAGGAAAAATGAAGTTTGGAGATGTCAAGAGAGGTATCCAAGGGTCTTACGGCTAACAAGTGGAAAGGCCAACAAGACTACAGATAATAAAATCAACATTGTCCATTTGGATAGCTTTACCATGGGCTAAACAAGGATTTATGTGATTTACACACACCTACCTAAATAATCCTCACCCTCAGTCCTCAGGAGGAGGCAGTAAGGAGGAAAGACCCCTATGAGGAAGGTGTTCCTGTTATCCCCATAACCCGAGGTCACCCAAATAATAAGAATTGGGATTTGATTTCAGCCATTCTGGGTCTACTCTCTGCCCTAGATTTGCTCAAATTTGTACCCTTTTCATTGTACAACTTTGCACACAGAATCACTTAGAAGACAGTAATTCTAAACCCATTATGAGGACCTCAGTGGGAGTCAGGAATGAGAGATGATTAAAGAAACACTTTCTATAATGAATGTCACATGGGCCCACTGCCTGGGTTTGCATGTGTTTGCATATGTCAGCCACATGTGTACATTTCAAGGGACAGATAGCATGAAGTCTTGGAGGCTTTTCATGTTCTTCTGTGTGAGCTAGAACACATGGTTGAAGCTTTCTCTCCTCAGTTCCCTGGCTGTTAAAATGAGGCTAATTTCTTCTACATGAGATAGATCCATGGAAGTGTTTTCTAACATCTAGCACATAGAGGCATTCAACAGATGTCAGTCCCTTTCCCACTTCTAATTAGCGTGTCAAGAAAAGAAAAGTGGAGGAGAAAGAAATGGACACACAGAGGTTTTCTTTATGTTCAAAATGCAAACACTTACTGAAGACACAGTGCCTACAAGAGAATTCAAAATGGAGATATAAGAGAACCCAGAGGAATCAGGCAATGAGTGTGGTAAGAACAATTAGAATAGCAGAAGAAATATTATAGTGAAAGA